CCTCACGCTCGTCATCTAGTATGCGCGTCACCTCCAAATAATGAAACAATGTGAAATCCGGGGTTTCATACCTTCAGGACAAGATTTACAATCATTACTTACCTCGAACCGGATAAAACTCTAACCCGCGATGCCCTTGCCTCTCGACTCGGCCTACAAATGCTCCGAATCTATCCAAAATCAGCATATTATCATCAATATACCGTAAAGGAATGAATTCCACACGAAAATTATCAAATTAGACAAAAACACCCGAATGGGACTCAAACCCGGCCCTCGGGCCCACGTCTCGGATTTCAACAAAATTTACAAAACTATAAAATCCTTTCACTCCCGAGTCTATACATACAAATATCATTAAAATCGGACCTCAAATGGTCCCTCAAACCCTCAACCAAAAGTCTCCAAAACTCATGCCCTAACCCCTTCACTTCTCTCCAAATTCCCACTAAATTCCATGATTTAAAAGTGGAAAAATCATCACAAACACAATTAATAAAGCCCAAGTAGCTTACCTTACCGATACCCCTCGATTTCCTCGTGAAATCACTGCTTGGAGCTCCAAACTCGTCCAGAAATGGTGAAGAATGGGCGGAAATTTGCAAAGTGAGGCTTTTATTGTTTCTGCCTGGGAGACTCGCACCTACGATTTAATGAGCACACCTGCGGTCAAACAAGCGCACCTGCGGATTCAACTTATCCGCACACATTCCGCATCTACGGCTACACACCCGCACCTGCGTTCTCGCTGGTGCGATAACGCTACCGCACGTGTGGTCAAGCTTAAACTGGTCCAAAACCGCATCTGCGACCTCCCTCTCGCATCTGCGACCTCGCAACTGCAGTTCCCAATCCACAGGTGCGGAAATGATAGAAGCAGAAGCTTCAGCTGCTCAAACAAAGTTCCAATCTTTCCGTTAACCAGCCGAATTCATCCCGAGGCCCTCGGGACCTCAACCAAAAGTACCAACAAGTCATATACCACTATTAAAACTTATTCAAACCTTCGGAACACTCAAAACAACATTAAAACACCAAATCACCCTCGAATTCAAGCCTAAGAATTTCCAAACTTCTGAATTCTGCAAACGATGCCGCAACCTATCAAACCTCGTCCGAATGACCTTAAATTTTGCATACACGTCACAAATGCATAACTGACCTACTCCCATTTGCAGAATTCCATTCCGACCCCGATATCAAGATTTCCAATGCCGACCGGAAAACGCCAAATTTCAAATTTCGCCAATTCAAGCCTAAATCTACCACGGACCTGCAAATTACATTTCGAACACGCTCCTATGCCCAAAATCACCTAACAAAGCTATTCGAACCATCAGAATTAACATTTGAGATCTTCTACACATAAGTCAACATCTGGTTGACTTTTCTAACATAAGCTTCTAAATAAGAGACTAAGTGTCTCATTGTACCAAGACCACTCCGAACACAACACAACCAACACGATACGATGAAATACAGCTGAACAATACATAAGGAAGCAGAAATGGGGATAACGGGGCTGTAACTCATGAAACGACCGGCTGGGTCGTTACATCCTCCCTCTCTTAAACAAATGTTCATCCTCAAACGAGTAAAGAAACATAGCTGAAGCCTCAAATAGGTGAGCATATCTGCTCCGCATCTCCCACTCGGTCTCCCAAGTAGCCTCCTCCACGNACTAGCTATCAGCCTCGAGTCTAGCTGTGTGGTTGCTGCCTCAGGAGACTTCAAGGTACAACTGCCCGCGTCCGAAAACCTCGGAGTCCTCTTCTATCCCCTATGTAATTTCCCCCTTGTTTTCTTTAGTCATGGATGTATAGAGAAGTTAGAAACTCTTAGAAGCTTGTGACATTGCGACATTCCGGGTTTCAGAAAAGATGATTATTGTATATGCCGAGTGGCACTATTTCCCCTTATTAATTATATCTGTTAGCTTTTATCTTTGTGTTTTCATTTCATTTTCGCAATATCAGGTTTACCTAGTCGTAGAGACTAGATGCCGTCACGACAGTTCACGGAGGGAGAAATTGGATCGTGACAGGATTACCTATAAATTTTATTGAAGTTTTATGGGTTATTAAGGGGTAGTTGGATAAGAGATCTGGTTAGGATTGAGAAAAAATGTGAAGAAAGAGAAAGACAAAATAGTAGTTATTGTTGCCAATCATTTTGGCCTACATGTATCAATGCTAATTATCTATAGAAATCAATATCCCAACATTAAATTGCTTACTTTCTAAAGTTTACTTTCATATTGGCTTTAGAAAGATGAGTATATACGGTCATATAACATGTGTGGGACTTTAAATCAAGAAACTTCATTAACAAGCTCTCACAGATACTTTAAAAAAAAAAATCAGTTACAAATCTTAATGAAAAATATAAATGAAACCACACCAAGTGCTATGAATTACAAGAATCAGATTGTACATATATTACACGGATCAGAGTGTATAAATTGCACAAGTCAGTTACAAATTAAGATGGTCATGAATTACATGAATTAAATTATATATGTTAGTCTACCGATTCCTTATTGATATATTTACTCCAAATTGTGGTAATTCTTAAGAATTATCTTGGATAATTAATGTAGTAAATGCATGTAGATGTAGTTTTCTTCTTTGATACCAATGATAATTGGGCTAATTTGTGCAATTCTATTGAATATATATTATTTTTCAGCGGTACAATTGACTAATAACTTTATTTATCGAGGCTTAGAAAGAGGAAGGAAATAATTTAACTTCATTGTTTGTTGCAATAACAACAACAAACTCAATATAATCTCATAAGCGAATTGAAGAAAGTATTGTGTATGCAAATTTTATCCGATCTTTTTTGTCAGTTGCGCTTGCTAGAATTTGAATCCAACCTCCTATTTGATATATATCCCACTTCTTTTGCATAAAGAAGTAGTTTATTATAATGTATATAACTTAAATCCTAAGTCAAAATGAATGTCATTACAACAGTTTTTTGTGTTATTATTATATGGATTACAATTGCTTCGATTCTTTTTTTTATATACATTGGAAATCAATTCAAAAAATGAAGATTAAGGTAATCTACATTGGTTTATTCTATACTTTTCCTTGATTTGGTGGTACACTTCTGATTATACATAATTACACTCACCTCCCTCTCTAACTTTAAAATTATACTGACCTCCCCTATCTTTTAAGTTTATTACAAGGATCCATTCACTAGAAAATAATTTATCGCAAAATGACACATATACCTTTGAATTAATTACAACTTTTATTTTGTATAACTTTTCTTAATGAAATTCAAGGTAGTTAATTGTCATTTATATTGATTATAGAACGATATAATTATTGTAAGTAATTTCATAAAAGAGAAGAGATAAATTCATCTTTATCAAAATTATGGGAGATGCTTTTGTAAATAGTAAAACTTGAATCGGTCAATGAATAAATTCCATAACAGAAAAGGGTTATGACGGAAGAGTGCATAGGAAACCATTTCCTCCTATAAATTAGTATGTTTGGCTCGAGCATGTACTCATTTTAATTCAAGTTACTAAACACTCCTTGGGCAAGAAATTGTATCTTTCCTTCTTCTCCTGTTGTAATCATGGAAAGAAATAGTTCTCAAATAAGAATGAATGTTGAGAGGGAGTTTGTCAGAAATAAACGTGCTGAAGAGGTTACAATCTCCAATATGCAGAAAGGACTCTGCAAAAAAGCAAAGGAGATTTCTACCTTATGCGGCATCGAGATTGCCATTCTTATCTTTTCAATCATAGGTCAACCGTTTTTATTTGGAAGTCCGAATGTTGAATCGGTTGTTCGACGATTTTTGAAGGCCAAGCAGCCAATTGTATCTCCTTTAAGTGGTTACATACCATATGAAAGAACTAGCGGTCGCAAAAGAAAGGACGAAATGGACAAAAAGAAAAAGAAAGTAGAAGAAAACAAGGACAAAGAAAAAGCTCTGGAAAGTATTTTCACATGCTGTCCATTGGAAGATCTCGATCTGACTGATTTGGAAATGTTTGAAAAATTAGATCAAAATATCGAGAAACTTTCAAATTATTTGATTGAAGAAATTGCTCAGTTGCAGTTTGTGATTGACGCTGAAGATCCAAACTTAGCACTTGAAATGAATGTGACTAGTTCTTCGACTTTACCATCTAATTGGCTAAGTCTCTAAATGGAAACTTCAATGTAGCAGATCCGAATGAAGTCTATATAGTATGTTGTTTCCGAATAATGATATATAATATGGAACAAATATTTCAACAAGTAAATAGTTATTGTTGTTTATTGTTTACTTTTTTTTCCTCCCAATACATATTATCCCTAAGCATATATCTTTATTCTTAGCACAAATTTGTGACTTTTTTATTTTATCCTTTTTGAGTTTTTCTCTACATGATTCATATTTATATTGATATAATAAGGTTAAATTACTAGATAGTTCCTCAAACTTGACATGAACTATTAGATAGACACTTCCACTTTCGTTGTGACTATTTAGTATCATATGAACATATTGGTTTGGCACTTGCTCTCTCATCCCTCCCACAACCTTTTTCTATACATAAAATTTCTATTTCGTCCGGCTGTAACTTCATAGATTTACATGTGAATCTTTGTTAGATCGATCATACAATTATGACAAATCATGTCACGACCCCAAAACCAACCCGGTCGTGATGACGCCTATCATAAAACTAGGCCAACCGACAAAATCCCAAAACAAATCGATATTTCATAATAAGGATGTTTTAAGCTATTAATTAATAAAATTTCACAGTATAAGTCTACATAACAAGTGCGGAAAGATCAATGGCCCGATATCGCGGCGTCATAAGTCACGAGAATCTACTAAAGAACTGTCTGAATACAATTAAGACTATCACAGTCTGGAAAACACTAATATAGTCTAAGAAAGATAAGAGGGAGAAGAGCAAGGATGCGATCACCATACATCTACCTTGCCGACTCTAAATATCCGCGACGGATGAAAGATCAGCGCTCGCTATCACGACCAGCAACTCCTGGATCTGCACACAAGGTGTATGCCAACTCAGTATGTAATAAAAGTAAATAAAGACTAAGCAATAAGAAATACATAAATCGATGTCACAAAATACACTAAGTACGGTATGCTGTCAAAACAGTATATAAATCAAATCATCTCGTAAAAATCAAATTTCAATAAAACAATTTGAAGATATCTTTCCAACATTTTTAGCAGGGGTTCCATGAAGTCTAGAGTAAAAGTGATGAAAATAATAAATAGACCCTCGGGCAAAACATATATCATAAACCGCCCCTCATGCATAGCTTCACTAAGAATCAGCCCCACGAGCAACCTCACAATCACTCGTAATCAGCCCCTCGGGCACAAAATGAATCAAGAACAGCCCCCCAGGCAACATCATATCACTCACTCAGGGTACACGCGCTCACTGGGGGTGTACAGACTTTGGAGGGGCTCCTACAGCCCAAGCGCTATAACAAGCCATATCGTGGCATAACAAATCAGGCCCTCGGCCTCTCAAATCACAAATCAGTAACAAAATGCTGTGGCACGTAGCTCGATCCCACAATATCCTTACAACACAGGCCCTTGTCCTTACTCAGTCAAAAACTTCTCAAGCCACTCGGGCTAACAGTAAAACTGGGTGCTCAGCCCAAAATATCATTTTATGCATCAAAATGGAGTAAATAAGACCGAGTTATGAAATCGGTAAACATGATATGACTGAGTACAGATATTAAATGAAAAAACAGTGAGGAGTAGTAGTAAAAAGCCCTTAAGGGCCCAAACAGCTTGGCACGAAGCCCAAATATGGCATTCAGCCCAAAACATAGTACTACTTTCCAAAACATATAAGTATCAAATAGTTATCAGTCAAATACGGAATTTAATAGTTGCGATGGGACGGACCAAGTCACAATCTCCAACGGTGCACGCCCTCACGCTCGTCATCTAGCATGCGCGTCACCTTCAAATAATGAAACGATGTGAAATGCGGGGATACATACCTTCAGGACAAGATTTACAATCATTAGTTACTTCGAACCGGACAAAACTCTAACCCGCAATGCCCTTGCCTCTCGACTCGGCCTCCAAATGCTCCGAATCTAACAAAAATCAGTATATTATCATCAATATACGCTAAAGGAATGAATTCCACACGAAAATTATCAAATTAGACCAATACTCCCGAATTGGACTATAACCTGGCCCCCGGGCCCACATCTCGGAATCCAAGAAAATTTACAAAACTATAAAATCCTTTCACTCCCGAGTCTACACATAAAACAATCATCAAAATCGGACCTCAAATGGTCCCTCCAACCCTCAACCAAAACTCTCCGAAACTCAAGCCTAACCCCTTCACTTCTCTCCAAATTCTTACTAAATTCCATGATTAAACAGTGGAAAAATCATCACAAAAATAATTAATAAAGTCCAAGTAGCTTACCTCACTAATACCCCTCGATTCCCTCTAGAAATCACTGTTTGGAGCTCCAAACTCGTCCAAAAATGGTGAAGAATGGGCAGAAATTCGTGAAGTGAGGCTTTTATAGTTTCTGCTTAGGAGACTCGCACCTGCGGTCCAATGAGCGCACCTGTGCTACCGCAACTGCGGTCTGTATTAAAACTAAATAAAGATTGAGCAGTAAGAAACATATAAATCCACATCACAAAATCACAGTAAGTACGGTATGCTTTCAAAACAATATATAAATCAAATCATCTCGTAATAATCCAATTTCAATAAAATCATTTGAAGATATTTTTGCAACAGTTTCAGCAGAGGTCCCATGAAGTTTATAGTAAAAGTGGTGAAAATCATAAATAGCCCCTCGGGCAAAACATATATCATAAACCGCCACTCGGGCAGAGCATCACTCAGAATCAGCCACTCAGACAACCTCACAATCACTCATAATTAGCCCCTCGGGCACAACATGAATCAAGAAAAGCCCCTCAAGCAACATCATATCACTCACTCAGGGTAACCGCCCTCGCTGGGGGTGTACGGACTCCGGAAGGGTTCCTACGGCCCAAGCACTATAACAAGCCATATGGTGGCATAACAAATCATGCCCTCGGCCTCTCAAATAACAAATCAGTAACAAAATGTCGTGGCGCGCAGCCCGATCCCACAATATCCTCAAAACACAGACCCTCGACCTCACTCAATTAGAAACCTCTCAAGCCACTCGGGCTAACAGTAAAATAGGGTGCTCAGCCCAAAATATCATTTTATGCATCAAAACGGAGTAAATTAGACCGAGTTATGAAATCAGTAAACATGGCATGAATGAGTACATATATTAAATCAAAACAGTGAGCAGTAGTAGTAAAAAGCCCCTAAGGGCCAAAACATCTTGGCACGAGGTCCAAATATGGCATTTAGCCCAAAACATAGTAATAATTTCCAAAACCTCTTGGCACGAGGCCCAAATATGGCATTTAGCCCAAAACATAGTAATACTTTCCAAAAATATAAGTACCAAATAGTTTTCAATCAAATACGCAACTTAATAGCTGCTACGGGACGGACCAAGTCACAATCCATAATGGTGCACGCCCTCACGCTCGTCATCTAGTATGCGCGTCACCTCCAAATAATGAAACAATGTGAAATCCGGGGTTTCATACCTTCAGGACAAGATTTACAATCATTACTTACCTCGAACCGGATAAAACTCTAACCCGCGATGCCCTTGCCTCTCGACTCGGCCTCCAAATGCTCCGAATCAATCCAAAATCAGCATATTATCATCAATATACCGTAAAGGAATGAATTCCACACGAAAATTATCAAATTAGACAAAAACACCCGAATGGGACTCAAACCCGGCCCTCGGGCCCACGTCTCGGATTTCAACAAAATTTACAAAACTATAAAATCCTTTCACTCCCGAGTCTATACATACAAATATCATTAAAATCGGACCTCAAATGGTCCCTCAAACCCTCAACCAAAAGTCTCCAAAACTCATGCCCTAGCCCCTTCACTTCTCTCCAAATTCCCACTAAATTCCATGATTAAAAAGTGGAAAAATCATCACAAACACAATTAATAAAGCCCAAGTAGCTTACCTCACCGATACCCCTCGATTTCCTCGTGAAATCACTGCTTGGAGCTCCAAACTCGTCCAGAAATGGTGAAGAATGGGCAGAAATTCGCAAAGTGAGGCTTTTATTGTTTCTGCCTGGGAGACTCGCACCTGCGGTCTAACGAGCACACTTGCGCTACCGCATTTGCGGTCAAACAAGCGCACCTGCGGATTCCACTTATCCGCACACATTCCGCATCTACGGCTACACACCCGCACCTGCGTTCTCGCTGGTGTGATAACGCTACCGCACCTGTGGTCAAGCTAAAACTGGTCCAAAACCGCATCTGCGACCTCCCTCTCGCATCTGCGACCTCGCAAATGCGGTTCCCAATCCACAGGTGCGGAAATGATAGAAGCAGAAGTTTCAGCTGCTCAAACCAAGTTCCAATCTTTCCATTAACCAGCCGAATTCATCCCGAGGCCCTCGGGACCTCAACCAAAAGTAACAACAAGTCATATACCACTATTAAAACTTATTCAAACCTTCGGAACACTCAAAAAATCATTAAAACACCAAATCACCCTTGGTTTCAAGCCTAAGAATTTCCAAACTTCTGAATTCTACAAACGATGCCGAAACCTATCAAACCTCGTCCGAATGACCTAAAATTTTGCATACACGTCACAAATGCACAACTGACCTACTCCCATTTGCAGAATTCCATTCCGACCCCGATATCATGATTTCCAATGCCGACCGGAAAACGCCAAATTTCCAATTTCGCCAATTCAAGCCTAAATCTACCACGGACATGCAAATTACATTTCGAACATGCTCCTATGCCCAAAATCACCTAACAAAGCTATTCGAACCATCAGAATTAACATTCGAGATCTTCTACACATAAGTCAACATCCGGTTGACTTTTCTAACATAAGCTTCTAAATAAGAGACTAAGTGTCTCATTGTACCAAAACCACTCCGAACACAACACAACCAACACGATACGATGAAATACAGCTGAACAATACATAAGGAAGCAGAAATGGGGATAACGGGGCTGTAACTCATTAAACGACCGGCTGGGTCGTTACATCCTCCCTCTCTTAAACAAATGTTCA